CTCCGATACCATTTTTCTGCTTGAACATTAGAGGTCACATGACGAGGCTGACGGAAAAATATATCACACAACTTTGTTACGGTGGTCATGTGACGTATTCACCGGACGAGACGAATATATCAAGAACTTATTCATCCGGTCGCCGGACATATAACATGAAGAATTAATTAGAAAGACAAAATTTGAACTTCCTACGACATTTTGTATGGAAAGATGTCTTATATATACCCATGAATTTCTAATATTAGGGTTGATATAAAAGGCAAAAATTTATGATGGAAATGTAGATCAAGATGTCTACTACTGCTAATTTATGGATGAATACCACAATTTTATGACAAAATAGTCCTTTCATCTATGATAAAGCAGCGACCTCCAAAAATTAAAAACTTGGATTCTGCTTTGCAGATTCCCATTTACCCTATAAATTTTGAAGTAGTCTCCCCTGCCTTACAGAAGTGCCTACTTAATGTCTGTTGTACTCAGTGTTACCTTGGAATCCAACATATTCCAGAACTCTGGAGTTCCAAATCATTCGTGTTCCAATAAAATCTTTCCCCTTTACTTTTAAAATAATAGAAACTTTTCTGGGTCCCATACCATTAACTCTATAATTCACAAGAGGTTAAATCAGGAATTTTCACAGAAGCCAGCTGAGAATTTTCTAGTTATTATTTACGGAAGAAAGAAGTAATTTCTAATTAATTATAGATATAACTATGTGACTTAAAATTGTGCTTTTTACTCGTTATGTGACTTTATTCTACCCGTCATTCTGTCATGTTTTTATTTGTTCCTTCGCATAATATTGTGACCCATTTATATATTTATATTTTATCCTATCCTGGTTAAAGGATAGTTTAAATACTTTTTCTTAAGATTAATAAAACTTACTACTACATAGAGCTAATATTTAAAACAAAAATTATGATCTGGGTCTGTCATAATCATTAATTATAGGCCTATAATTATAATGGCTACACTGTATAGGTCTACCTGAACCACATTGTTAAACAATAACATGTTTTTAAAAATGGCCCCTGCCCTGGTATTGTGATATGTTGTCTGATGAATGACATTTTTTTTAACATGCTGGAAAGCATAAATACTTAAAAAATATAATGAAGCAATGTTTAATTTAAGTTTCTATGACACAAACAATTTTCAGGTGAGTGGAGCTGCTGATATTTTAATTGAAGATGCAGAAGATGAAGAAGATGAGGGTAGTTTTGAAGGGCCGGGACCAGATGATGATTGTTTCTGCATTTGTTTTTGTGAGGATGATGAAGAGGGGGAAGAAAAAGATAACAAAGAAAATGTCGAAACAACACAGAATAATAACAAAGAAAATAGTGAGGGTGAAAAGGCTCAGGATAACATAGAAGAGGGTGCTGGCGATGTAGGTTTCTAGTTTGCATTTTGAGTTACATGTTCCCATTTTCAAAATTTACTCATAGACACTTGAGATGTTTCTTTTTTTTTTCATTGTTGTTAAAAATAAGAATAAATAACATTTCCTCTTGTTTAAAAATTGAAATTTGGTTAAGTTGATTTCTATTTATTTATTGCCTTTTTTATGTGAGGTTTTGTCAAAAAACGTAACTCAATCCCAACACCAATTCTTCTTCAATACTTAATTTATATTCCTGTGAAAGGGAAGTAACTCTGTTTTGCAATTGATTTACATTTGTAAAATATTTTTAAGCTGCTCAATATGAATTAATATTAATGAATTATCGATTAATGCATAAATGAATATGGTTTTATATTAATATAACATTTGCATCAAAAAAAAAATCAACAATGACCTAAATTGATTTTTGGCCCTGGCATGAACACATGCTAGATATAGACACACTGTACTAAAGCGCATACAAATTGAAAGTGAAACAACATAACAACATCCAGTTTTTAAATTTAAATCACACAGAATCACGACATTGCCAGAAGTCTCAAGGGGTGCAAGATTTCATTGCTATTTTTTAAAATAAAAATAAGAGAGGCATGTCGTTCCATCAGAACCCAAGGGAGGAACTCATTTAGTTTCAACCGTTGGGAATGAGTTAATGAGCTGTGTAACTTTTACAGCTGTTTAAACTGTAAGAAAGTTGAATTTATTTAGCAGTGAAAATTTGCAAAGTTTTAAATTTATTTCTCTCATCCTTGAAATACTTGAGATAGTGATTGAGTCAACAGCTGGCTCAATTTTTTCAACTGATGTATGGGCATTTAGCCTTTTAAAAATTAAAAAAAAAATTATTTTTGTTTTAGAGAAGAGTCATGTTACTTCCACGTTCTGGTAAAAAAATTATATTTACTCAGAGCGAAAATTTGTTGAAATGTTTCATAAAGCAGCAGCAGATCGCAGCTAATTATAATATATTTAAAGAGTATATTTATATAAAAGAGAGAGAGTAGATGTGTTACTATGATTAAAATGTTTTCACTTAATCTCCACAGCCCAAATGTGTCTGTTATTGCATATGTGCAGTACCAAATGTAAACAAAGTTTGATTTGTTAATTTATTTTTCTTTAATTTTAAGTTGCTGTCAGGTGGCAATTCTCTAAATTATATGTTAGTCAGCCAGTCAAAGATCTTGCAAATAGATTTTATAGTTAAGTTATTGTGTCACTATTGAGACAAATCATTTTTACTGTTCATTTTTGCTAATATTTTATTCTTGCAAACAAGTTTTCCAGATGGTAGAGATGGTCAAATTATATGCAAAATTCAAACATTTAAAACTTCAAGCTTTACAAATCAAACATAAAATAAAATGTTACATAATCATCTCATATAAAAATAAAAAGTTTTTACATTTATAATAATGGAGATTTTTTTTACCTTTGATTCTGGACATCAGAATTGCTTTCTCTAGAACCATTGCTATGATACTTCTTTCCCTTGCCTGCATACATTGTTTAGGAAAAAAATTTAAGCATGGATTAACATCTGGATGTCCAGATATCTAAATTTTACTGTTTATGATCACAATTTATAAACGTTAAAATCAATTTCAAAGAATTTTTTGCAACCTTTTTGAGTTCGCCTTAAGCTTTTTAATTAAAAATGTATTGTGAGCTACTGTTTAAAAAATCAGTGTTCTTTTTGAAGTTATATAATTATTTACTGTAAATTACTGTAAAGAAATTTATTTATTTCCAAAAGTAGTAGCATTTATTATTCTGGAAAACTTGGTCTGGTTTTACATACCAGGAAAGCTTTTAATTCATTCCTGAACTTTAAGAAGGGAAGTGTTATCTTATGTTAAACTGTGATTGTGATTGATAAATGATGTATGTTTGCTTATCAACTTATTAATTATAAAATTGCACGGGAAAAAAGCTATAATAAAACTGTACAACAACATGAAAAACTGTACCGTACATAAGAAGTGAAAAGTTGAAAAAAGTAAAACATTTTCATAATTTTTATCAATCTTTTTGAATACCGTTACCAGTACATGCATTAAAAAATTAATAGTCTCTCCTTCCATGTGCCTACATTTAATTAAGCATGTTTACATCATTCATAAATGGATACATCACATCTTTTAAATGAAAATAGCTTGTTAAGTTGTTATAAGTCAGATTTTTTGGGTCAAATTTTTATATATTTTTTTAAACCTAGTCAAAGGCAATTATTTTACTAAATGGACAGAGGATGAATTTGATCGCAATGTAGATGTATTTTGAAGTAATTCTTTTGTTTATTATGCTAGCTGTAATAATACAGATTCCTGTTAATAAATACCCAAAATTTCTCCATCTTGACAAATTTGTTTTGATCTTCATCTCATAACCTTATTTTTCACCATACCAGAGGTATTAAGCCAAGCCATTGTAATAAATAGGAATAATGACTAATGCTTTTCATTGATTGATTGTAATCTGAAATATATTTTATTATTACATATAAATTAAAAGCAAACTTACAAACATTGCAGTTTTTGTTTAGAAAGATTTGTAGTTATGGTTTACCATACTACTCAAACTAATGAATGATATCAATGAAACAAAACAATGAAATGCGCTGTTTCTAAATGTACATGGCCTACTGATCCTCAACTTGGTCATTTTGATTGGACAAATGGGATTTAAATGTAAGCTTCTTGTTTCCAACATTGAATTTATTGCACCATCAGTTTTGAAAGTGTGTCCTGTGGAAATATACTTCTTTTCTAAATCCAGTAAAAACAAAAATGTACCGTACAAAAGCATGTATGGTCATACACCTCGGCCAGTGTATAAAAAACTGTAAAAAGTATCGTAATCAGTACAGGTTGCCATGTATGGCTTAAAGGGAATTGTGGGAAGTGGGTTAAAAGTTTGTCTATTTCAGGTTAACATTTACATTTCTCTCTGTTTTATTTTTAAAATTGTTAACAGATCGTCATTGGTTAAAATTGTCAGCCAAAGCCAGCATCCTCTAAATAACCACCTCTTCATGAATCATCATCATCAGTCATTGTGGTTGTATGCTTATTTTAAATCTATTTATTCATGATAAGTTTCACTATATTTTTGTTTTATGTGTTTTTCAGGATGAAGAGGAGGTTGAGCTTGTTGTGAGTATCATATCAATTTATTTCTTTAGGATTATACATTTTAGTAAACAATCAATGCATGCTAAATGTGTTAAACTCATGGAAATTAAATGTAAGAGTTGCACTTGTTTTGATGGTGATATTTGCAGTTGAGGTTTGGGGCCATCCATAAAATCCATCATGCATTTAAGTCTAAAGGGGTGGTGGGATCAGAATTTGGGACAATGTATTATTAGGGTATCTTTAATTGTGTGACCAATTTTTGCCAATTAGGGGGGCGGGGTCAAAAATTTGCTAAAATAATGTGTTGTCAGTTATTGGAGGACCCTTTTTAGAATACAAATTTTGTACTAGAAATAAATTTTGTCAGAGTTAATTTAATTAATGCAAGCAATCGCCTCAAACATGTAGTAATTTCATTTTGTTTTTTCAACTAATGTACTTTTTCATAGGATCCAATTGATGAAATAAAGCAACATTGTGGGGAGAAAGAAGAGTGTGTCAAGTTAAAGCAGAGATTAGATGAATGTACAGCTCGTGTAGAAAGCCGGTCCAAGACTTCAGAGACATGTGCTGAAGAACTAATAGATTTCATGCATTGCATTGATCATTGTGTAAGTATTGATATGGCTTACACCTGTGTTGACTTTAATTTAAGTGGCTCATCAAGTATGATGTCATTGACACATCATACAATACATTTGATTGGTTGACAAAGACATTAAATATGATTCATGCTCTAGGTTGAGCCTAAACCATTTTACCTTGGCTAGCACATCGCAAGCGAGCATCATCAAGTGTGCGTCACCATTAATTAAAAGATTAAAACAGGAATCGGGGCACTCTTCAATTAGGGGTTCACCTGTTTCAATAGTCAGGTAACAGAGTCAGCAGTTAGGATCCCTGTGTAAGTCAAGTCTTTGTTGGTAGCTTTGTGTCAGACATTGCTCAGTTCACATCTGTGTGATGAGGCTTTCTTTACTTTGTGCCAGATTCCGCCAGGGGTCACTCTTGCTCTGTGAAGGCATGTTACAGTAGAGCTTTTGTGCCGTGTCTTCTACTGCTCAAGCCTTGAGCCAGTCTTCTTGAAAGTTGACTTTAAGCCAGGCTTGACTCCCGATTGGAGTTATGGGCCGGTTCGGTTGGGACTGGGCTACACCATTGTATCAGCTCTCTTGTTTTGCATCACCTCAACATGACAAGGGACTCATTGGAGGACTCCATGCTACCTAGTGCATGGATGTCGTCTACTGTTTCCAGAATGGTGTTGACTCTTGTTGATTCCATCGAGCTCCTAAGATATCTAAGGCCCTCTTTACGTTGTTTTGGTGAAATTTGACAAGATGGGGCAATGTTATTCTTTGCTGACTCTAAGCTGTTCACAAAATTATTGTGCCATTTTCAACAGGATTATAACTTTTTCCAACCAAAATCTTTTCAAGCAAGTTAATTTGTAACATAACGCATGTCTTTAAACTGACTTAGGTCACATGCTTTGTCTTGCAATGATATGCCGGATGATCAAAGCGGCTACTTCAATAACTTGTAGATTCTGTCTCAAATGAACTTTTTGGGAGCCCTGGCCTATTAGGGTTTGCAATGACAATAGGTAGATGATTCATATTGAAAATACATTCGGCAGCCATATTATGATTGTGGGACTTTTGAGCTATAGTTTTTTTTCTAATTTGATGGACCTATATGTTGTAAATGTATTGAAAGTTGATGCCTTTTTTTTCCTTTTTTTGTGAAGAATTCTCCTCCATTTGCAAACAGATTTTATTTTTTTTTTAATCTTTATTTATTCAATCATTTTAATGTAATTATCTATAAAAATTTAACTCTGAGGAAATATTCAAATTGATATAAAATACTTTTTGAAGTGAAGTGGAACCTCAGATAATGAACGCTTCAGTTAATGAACAATTTTATTGAAAAAGTTTTGTTCTTTATTTTTCATTACAGAAAAACACTTAAAATACTATATTTCTTAGGCTGGACAGATCAAATGAAATTTACATTGTTTTCAATTGAAAATATTTCAGTTTGCAAACGTTTTGATTTAGATCGGATTAGATTATGTTCATTATCTGACTTTCCACTGTATAGTTTTCCTTCAATTTTAGGCAATTACGACAAACTTTTTGGAATGTGCTGTGTTAATTTGGAATAGGGAAAAAAAGGAAAATTATTTTTCCTTGTTAAAAAAATCTTTGTGTACAGATTACATTAAACAGACATAAAACATATAATTCAAATCCCTTGGTTAGTTTTCAAGTGTTTTCTGAGTTTAGAATTAAAATAAAATTGTTTAAACTTGTCAGTCTGCATTACCATAATTTTGCATTGTAAGTCTTTGTGAAAGTTTGGACCAACTAAGATTTTCTTTTGGTGATTTCAAACCATGCAGTGCTTTTTGAATAACACACTCTCTGCGCTAAATCTAGGGAACATTGTGTTTCTGTTTTCAACTCCAAACTGCAGTATCTTGTTTTCTTTTGTAACCTCAGTTTTTTACAAATTAAACACATCAATTAGCATAACCATTAGTATCATGGGGGTTATGTTAAATCAGTTAAATTCTGGCACTCCTCAAATATTTATTTTTCTAATTTTATTGAAACCTGTGAACAATGTAGACTGGATTGTCTCTGTGGATCCTGGAGGTTGCTACTGGTTTAAATAATTTTATCCTTCATTTTTAAAGAATATAACAATTGCCATGTTTTACTTAATCAGCTGAATTAATCTGTTTCTTATTTCATTTCAGGCATCCAAAAAATTATTTTCCAAATTAAAGTAGAGAAGCCTAGAAGTTAGCATTTTGTAGCAGTTATCAGCAAGTATCAGAAACGAGCCCTGTTGGAACTAAAGAGACTTTTGTGATATGGAATTATCCCAAGTAGAGAAAAAATTTAATTCAGGCCTATTGTTAGAACTTGTTTTCTTTTTAAAAAATAAAAATCTTTGTCAACAAAACAAAAAAAAGTGTAGAAATGTGCCGATTCAGCAGATCAGATAATTTTTTTTTTTTTAATTTTCAAGTTGGATCTTATTTCAGAATAATTCTGGTTTCTGTCCTTGATGTGCAAAAGTTCTGAATGTAAGAAGATATAAAAATGGAGTGAAGAAATGTATTAAAAAGTTAATTTAATAAATTATAGAATTGTCAATTAAAATGATTTTATATTGATGTATTTTATTTGCTTTTTTTTTCAATATTGTTAACTGTGTGCAAAGCTTTTGGACTTAATATGACATGCTTCGTACAAGCTTAGTGAAGCAGATTTTTGTTTCTACAAATGCTTCAGATGATGCAGCAACAGGCCATAATAACAAAAATTCATTGTATGAAAATTAAAAGTAATAAAAATGAGGCAATCCAAAGTCAAAAACCCCATTAATTTAGGTTTCAATGCAACTTGCTGAAAAATGTTGGGTACTTTAATTTTAAAAAATACAAAAAATGGTAAACTGTGTACACAAGATATTTGGGATATACCCTCGTAGTCATAGTATATTTTATCATTGATGCTCAATGATATCCTTGTGATCAATTTACTTGTGAAGTAGTGGGTTTATTTTGATGTTAAATAAATCAGAATAAATTGTTCTGTTAGATGGTTTTAAGGGAAAATCAACATATATAGTCTTATTTTTTTAATGAGGATGTGGCACTGGTTTAATATTGAGAGGTAATTATTAGACAATATTGGTCATATTTTAAAATTTTATAGAGTTATTTTTAGAACATCACTTTGAAAGCACACAGCATGTCATTAGGCCAAATTAACAAAAAACTTTTTACTATTTGTACCATTTAATTTACTATAATATTTTGAAACCAATATATAATTTTAGGGGAGATCTTTAATATTTTAACATGTAATTAAAATCTCAGTACCGTCTGGTAAACTGTGATAAATAAAATATCTTTTAAGTCCTGAATTTGAAGCTGGTGTACTTTAGCTACTGGCTTATATTGTAAAAAATTATATAAACGGGAGCACTGGTACTAAACAAGAAGCTTAGGCTTAGAGTAAGAGTATCACACTATAACTTCGTAACCTAACTTATTAAGGCAAACAGCGGAAGTTACCAGTGGTATCCTTTAACCTGAGCTTTGTAAAACTTTGTTAATTAATATTGTTTCCCTTGAAAGGGAATTATCTCCCTTGGTTTAGCTCTGACTGAGACTACGGTACCGGTACATATTAATTGGTAACCAATTTGGCTACCGGAAATTTCATCGAAAGAAATTTCGTCGACGGTAAAATGATCGACGGAAATTTGGTCGAACCTTTTTTCAGTTCAGACTTTAAAATTTTCGTCTAATTTCTTTTTCAAGGCACTAAACTCTATTGCTAAACAAAATAATGCGTTCGAAAAGAAATTTTAGGTAAAAGCTTTAACGTTAAAAACTGAAAAAAGTTTCGACCAAATTTCCGTTCGATCAAATTACCGTCGATCAATTTACCGTTGACGAAATTTCTTTCGATCAAATTTCCGGATACGATATTTAATTATAATTCATTGAAATTAAATGGGGCATTCAAATGTGAAAGGTCGGTCATTTTTAACCGGTGTGTGTGTCGACAAACTTGGAGTGACGCAGAAAGTGAAGAGTTAGAACAGCACTGATGTTTGAAATAAAATGGAGGCACGTGTGGATATGATAGGTATAATATGGCATACACATGATGTGTGTGATTGGTGTACTAATGGGGGAGGGGTTTGGTGTTATAGGTGTGCAATGGCATACATACACTCTTTTCCCAATCATCAATCCCTCAGTAATGCTAATAGAATGGACACGCCTACTTCTGCTATCAATTGCAGCGATTCTCAAACTAAAGACCGTGCTCTCATCGTAGTAGAGTGGTAAATAACATTTTCAGGTGGTACACATCAATCTCAAAACAAAAATTGTTGAATTAGGTGGTGGGCGCTACAGCTATACGTTGAAACAAAATTTGGTCAACACACAGGCCATACCAACAGATAATTGTAGATTTCTGCAGAACTTTTAACTGTTAAAAGATCTTCATAGTTTTGAGAGTCCCTGGTCCAGTGAATGCTTTTTGACGACTCGTGCATTGATCGGTGGTGATAAAAAAAAAAAAATGTGCGCATTCCTGCTACTGATCCAGCTATCATACAGGCTACGTTGATAAAATGCCTTAAACTTAAAGGCGATAAAGCTATGTCACGGATTACGAGCTGTGCTAGTAACACTAGTAACTAGACCAATGAACACATTCTTTCAGCTGTGGGTAACCTCGGTACCGGTATTTCGTACTTTGTGCTGTGGCTTTGTGGGTGGGAAGAGACAGTCTCAACCAGGCCCGCCGAGAAGGTGGGCAGGGGGGGGGGGCAAATGCCCAGGGGCCCGGCAAGTTTTAGGGGCCCGGGCCCGCAATTAACTTTTGAAAATATTATGATCAGCTATAAAAAATATATTACTTATGCTTTTGTAAATATAACTTAACTAAACTTAATGACAATCAGATTAAACTTCAAGCATCTGAATATTGCCGTACTTATTGACCATTTTGTCATTTTTATGCAATTCCGTCAATCCGTCGTCTTAGTACTTTCTTCTGCTGAAATAAACATAAAT